CATTGGTTGGTGTTTGAAGATTCGAGCACTCTAAATGGATTTCACTTTTATGATATGATTTGGTTGAATTCTTGGAACATACTACAACTGGTAGGAGGTTGTTGGAAGAAAAATTAATGTTGATTAAACTTTTGTTGCAAGATACGTGTTCCGCTGAGTTTTGCGAATCTACCCAATTTCAGAAAAAAATCTAGCAAAATCCTTGTAATCTTTGTTAGTATAAGAAGATGATTGTATTTGATTCAAGTTCGGAAAAGAAGAAAGCAGGGATGGAACACCATGCTCAGATTTTTTATTGATCGTATTGATCGTGAAACTTTGCTTCTCACTCGAGGTCGAGTTTTCTCACTTGGGGGGACTGACGCAATGCAAATGGAAGAGGACTTTCTTTACAAAGTTAAAAATCCTAAGAAGTCTAGACTGAGTTTTCATTAATAGGGGCAGCTGATGATGTGATCAGATTGTGTCATTGTTTATTGGTCTAGAGTCATTTATGTAAGTCTTTAAGTATGTTAGATTGTGTAATTGTTTATTGGTCTAGAGTCAGTTATATAAGTCTTTATTTGATGTTTAGGATATTATTGCCATTTGATTTTTATTACTTTTTAAGTGAGTCATGTGACCACTTCCGTTTTGTCATTGTAGCGTCTTTATTTTTCTGGAAAGAATTTTAGTTGTTAGATTATATTTATATGAAGGGTTAGGATTAATTCATGGCTAGGGGATCCCTTATGTCTTATAAAAAGGTTGTTCCAAGTTGTATTCAGCAACAATATGCTGTAGCAGCCTTTTTTACCTCTCCCTACTCCCGTAGCTTCTCCTATATAAACACCAATGTATTATTGTATTACTTACTCAATAACATGTACGTTTTCATATATTCTCTTTCTCTCTCTCTCTTTAAACATGGTATCAAAGCTGAAATCGATCCCTCTTTAAATTTTTTTTTTTAGTCTTATTCAGACTCCAATCTTGATTCCATCTCTGCTTTCTCTCAATCTCTTCTCGGCGATCTCTCCTCGGTGATCTCAGTTCTCATCTTAGCAATCTCTCTCAGATCCCTCCTCGGCTCTCTCCTCGATAATTTCTCGGATTCATCACGACTAGATCTTGGTTCTCTTAACTCGTCTCCCTCTTGCTACTATATCTCATTTATTTGGCAGCTCTTGTGATGGATACTAAGGAATTCCATCTTCTTAGGTCAATCACCAGCACCAAACTGGTAATGCGTGAGCATGTGAATCAGCCCACCTCCATTGCTACTATTGTTACTTCAGGTAATACGTGTCTCCATGCTTCATCTTATATACCTTTGATCATTGATTCGGGGGTATCCGATCACATGATAGGTAACCCATCTCTTCTTTCTGATATTTCTCATGTTTTCTCACCATCGGTTGTTACTATAGCGAATGGTGCCAAATCACCTGTTCATGGAATTGGTACTTTCCACACTTTAAGTCTCACTTTTTCATCAATTTTATATATCCCTCAATTTTCATTCAATTTATAGTTAGCCGCAGAATCATATGAGATTTAAATTGCTTAGTTACTTTTTCTCCTTCCCGTTGTGTCTTTCAGGATCTCAAGACGAAGAAGATGGTTGGTGGGGGTTTTGAGAAGGATGGTCTTTACTACTTCCAGCCAACTACTGTTTCGACAGCTCTACATTCCACCTCTTCTTCAACTTACTAGTGGCATTGCCGCCTTGGACATCCCTCTTCAAATAGTCTTCGAGCCTTGGTCGCATCTTTAGTTGATTTTTCTAAGTGTAATTGTACTACTCGCGAACTTAGTAAACATCATCGGGCTACTTTTAAGTCTTGTTTTGATAATAAAAGTTTAAAACCTTTTGAGTTAGTACATTCGGATGTTTAAGGACCAGGTCGTACTACTAGTTTATTTGGTGCTCGTTATTTTGTGTAATTTATTGATGATTATTCACGTTTAACTTGGATTTATATTGTTAAAGATATATCTCAAGTATTCTCTATTTTCATTCCTTTTATGTTGAAATTCAAAATCAATTTGATGCAAAATTGCTTGTTCTTAGAACTGACAATGCCCTTGAAAATAAACTTAAATGTTTTTCAAAATTTTCTTGAGTCGAGGGGCATTATCCATCAAACATCTTGTGTTGATACCCCTCAACAAAATGGAGTTGCTGAACGGAAGAATGGCCCACTCCTAGCTATCGCTCATGCCTTAATAATTCAAATGCATGTTCTAAAACTATCTTTTAAACCGTATGCCTTCTAAGGTCCTTTAAGGAAAATCACCCTTCCAAATGATGTTTTCTGACAAAAACCCTTTTTCCATTCCTCCAAAGGTGTTTGGGTGTGTCTATTTTGTTTATAATCTAAACCCAGGACGAAACAAACTTGATCTCCGTGCTCACAAATGTATTTTCTTAGGTTATTCTCGCACTTAAAGGGGATATAAATGTTACAGTCCAACTCTTCGTAAACAATTTGTGTGCGCAGATGTAACTTTCTTTGTGGATGTTCCTTATTATTATCAGGAAGGCAGTCGTTTGGAGGACTCTGTCCAGTTTTTGATTCTGACATCCCACCAGCTCTTCGTGTCTATGCTTGTCGCCGGAAAAGAGTAGTTAATCATTTTCCAACGACTGAAGTAGTAAACCCAGCCTTGCCTCTTCCACCAGTCACTTCAATGCCTGGAGATTATTCCATCTCTCCGGACTCTGATCTTAATCAACCTATTGCTGTTCGGAAAGGTAAACGGTCTTGTACCAATCATCCTATCTCCAATTTTGTATCGTATAATAAATTGTCTTCCTATTTTCAAGCTTTTTCTTTGTCATTATCCTCTATTGCTCTTCCTAAGTCCTACAGGGAGGCACTTTCTCATCCAAGGTGGAAGAAGAAATAAACGCTTTAAAATTGAATCATACTTGGGGCCTTGTTCCTAAGCCTGCTTATACTCAGGTTGTTAGTTGTCGTTGGGTTTTACTGTTAAACAGAAGCCTGATGGTACCGTTGACCGTCTCAAAGCTCGACTTGTTGCTAAAGGCTACGCTCAGACTTATGGCCTTGATTATACTGAGACGTTCTCTCCTGTGGCTAAAGGGAATTTTGTTAGTGTGATAATCTCTCTTGCAGCTAATCTAGACTGCCACTTCATCAACTTGATGTTAAAAATGCGTTTCTGCTCGGTGACCTTACTGAGACATCCTATATGACTCAAGTATAAGGGGGAGTGTGTGTTTCATCTCAAGAAGTCTATCTATGGCCTCAAACAGTCCCCTTGTGCATGGTTTGATAAGTTCAGTAAAGCAGTGGTAGCTTGTGGTATGACCAGAAGCCAAGCTGACCACTATCTCTTTTTTAAGAAAACGAAACGTGGTATTGTGATTCTTGTGGTGTATGTAGATGATATCGTTATCACCGGTAGTGACAAAGATGGGATATAATTTTTAATCCATCACTTGAGTTCTAGCTTCCTAACTAAGGATTTGGGCAAACTTTGGCATTTTCTAGGAATTGAGGTGGCTTAGTCAAAGCAAGGCATTAGTCTTTCTCAGCGGAAGTATACTCTTGATCTCTTACAAGATACTGGATATCTTGGTTCGAAACCTGTAGCTACACCCATAGAGACGAATTTAAAACTTGAAGTGGATGATGGTGACCCTCTCCATGATCCAGAGATGTATCAGAGACTTGTAGGTAAACTTATTTACCTCACAATCACTTGTCCAGACATCTGACATCTCCTATGCAGTCAGTGTTGTGAGCTAGTTCATGACCAGTCCTCAGGTACCTCACATGGAGGCAGTTGTACGGATTTTGAAGTATCTCAAGGGTGCTCTGGGCCGTGGTTTGCTTTATCGATCTTCTGGAAATCTTTGGATTGAGGATACACGTGCAGATTGGGCCGGTTCTCCTTCTGATCGATAGTCCACCACGAGTTATTAGACCTTCAGTGGAGGAAATCTAGTAACTTGGAGGAGTAAGAAACAGTTAGTTGTGGCTCGTTCCAATGTTGAAGCAGAGTATCATGCCATGGCACACACTACCTGTGAACTTACTTGGTTGAAAACTCTTTACAGGAAATTGGGATTCTAGTCCAGTACTCAGTTCCTCTCCATTGTGACAATTAGGTAGCTATTCATATTATTAGCAATCCAGTCTACCATGAGAGGACTAAACACATTGAAGTAGATTGCCATTTCATTCGATCTAAAGTTGACTCGAATGAGATTGTTACACCTTTTGTTCCTTCTGGTAGACAGCTGGGAGACATCTTCACTAAGGCGCTTCCCAAGAACTCATTGATTCCATATGTAGCAAGCTGGGAGTTATTGACATTTACTCTTCAGCTTTAGGGAGAGTGTTGTACAGTATTGTATGAGTTGTCACACGTGTACAGTTAATATTGTTTGAGTTTTCACCTACCCCTCATTTTCCATATATAGAATTACTATGTATAGGGTTTACTTATTCTCCACTCACCTACTCCCGTAACTTCTCCTATATAAATACCATTGTATTATTGTATTACTTACTCATAACATATACGTTTTCATATACTTTCTCTCTCTCAACAACATTAAATAGATTTGATCACATTTCATGCTTTAAAATTTAAATTATCTTAAAGTGTGCAATAAGATATTGTTGTTCAAAAAGTACATAGACACGTGATAGCTTATGTTTCAACAAACCTTTTTAAACAAAGTTCCAGCTATGGTGTTGATGGGCCTTTTTTTTCAAATTATTATTTTTCCTTATTATGTTATATTTTTAACCTCTAATTTTATTTTGTATTTTTATGAAAGGGAAAATTACCAAATGTCCTTTTTTTCGCTCTTTAAAAACTAATAATTCTTAACAATTTTTAATGACAACAACGTGCTACTTTTTTTTATAGAATTTCTGACATTAGTTATAAAATCATCAATTTCCATATTTACCCTTGACTTCTTAGAAGACTAATTCTTCGTTTCTTTCTTTGTTCATTATTACTTTTGTTTGAAACAGAAATATTTTTTCACAAAAAAAGAAAAAGAAAAAAGCTATTATTTGAAGGGGAACATAGTGAGGCGGTTGGATACTTTGTGCACTTACTTGGGTGGGTTGGTAAATCCGAATCTAATTTGTCCATCTCGATTCATTGTGGAGTAGCAACCTGTAACCACTGTATGGTGATAGCTGAAATGAGAAATATTTTGCTTCAACCCTTGCTCAAATTAATGCTATCAGGTTAGATAAATTCAATAATGGGACAAAAAGCATTTAGAGGGTTGGATTTATTTATTTATTTTTAATCATATTATGTTTCAATATTTTATTTCTTTATTCCTTTTTTCTCCTTTTCCATTGCAACTGTTACTGTTGCCATTGTGACAGTTTTCAATATGTATTTGCAGTTCGGTTGCAGCTGCTCATGCTTCACCAGGGCATTGGACATTGAATAAGATTGCATCAAAAGGCATATCTCTCTACAAGATAGAAAGAGCTGTAAACTTTTGAACTAGCTATTTGGAGACCCTTGTAATCTTTGTTTTTAATGTCTACTTATCAAATTTATATATAAATTAATATATATATATATATATATATATATATATATATATATATATATTTCATGTCTAAACCTGGAAATTGAAATCATTCAAGGATGGAGGAGTTGAGAACTATCAATCATAATATATACTGTATGGAATCTTGTTAATTATAAAGTATCCTACGTTTCGTTATTTCACTTTAGTGGAGGATGTGTAAACCCGATATGATTTCGCCTTTTTGTTCTTCATTTCCCCCTTATGTGTATACTTTTATGCTTTATTTATTTTTATTATATTTTATTTTATAATTATTTTTAGGTATGGGGCAGATAATTACTTAAAAGAAAAAAGGCATTACAACGGAAATAACAGTAGCCCAACTAACATAGAGCAATTTGTCGGCGTTGGGATCTTCTACTGTAAACGAGTTGGTCGTGCTGTACTTAAATGAAGTCACTAATTTTTAATTTTTATTTTTTACATTAAGCCCTGACTATATAGGATTATATATATCTTCTTATGGATTTAAAGATTGAGAGAATCTAAACGCTTGTATAGGATTTTTTTTTCTCTCTTTCTTTCTTTCTTTTTCTTTAAACCTTAAGTCACTAATTGTAGAGAGTTTACGCGCGCGATTCATGTGAGCAGCGAAGTGTGTGTATAATCATAAAATAAATAAATAAATTATATACTTTATAATGTGTAAATATGGGGTATCAAAATTTAATGTATTATTTGATAACTCAAATATTAAGTGTTTATTGTGCCACCTTAAATGTAGTACAATTATAATATTCCGAACGAATTAAGTGCTTATTCAATTAAGTGTGCCATCTAAAATGGAGAAAAATTTTAATTGACAAAAAATCACTTATAACTGAATGTTGTACACTGAAAATTCAAAAAGTATAAAAAATATTTATTTTTTAATTATTAGTTAAAAACTTTAATACTTAAAATTCAAATCTTAATATTTTTATTACTTAATTTTCAACTTTATCTACAACAACTTACAAAAACTTACAATCTTTGGATTCTCTGCCCATCTCCTGCCAATATAGTTCATTAGCAACATTAAGATTTGATGTACTGGGCGTCTTGATAAATTTTCCAATAATAGAATGCTAGGATGGATTGATTTTATTAATGGGACGGTATACATGTATTTGAGATCATGTGGTGTTCGACTTGTAATGTTGTGTTTGGTGTACAGAAATAGAATGGAATGGAATGTTCATTTCAATCATTTCTTTGTTTGGTATACAATTTAAAATGGAAATGATCGTTCAATTGGAAAGATCATTCATTCCATAACTAAACCTATGAAATGACAATTTCATTCCCAAGTAGTTTTTTTATTTTTATTTTATTTTTATTTTTTTTTTTGTTGGAAAAATCAACTTTCCAAAAGACCATTATGTTCCAAGTCCAAAAACTGCCACTACCTTCCACCACAACCACCTCTGCTTTTCACCACCACCATCACTATCACTGCCTTCCACCACCACCACCACCACTGCCTTCCACCACCACCACAACCTTCCACCACCACCACTGTCACTGACTTTCACTACTGCCCACCGCTTTCCACCGGCACCACCTTCCTTTTCCGCAACCCCACTGCCGCTGCCACTGACTTTCACTACTGCCCACCGCTTTCCACCGGCACCACCTTCCTTTTCCGCAACCCCATTGCCGCCGCCACCGCCTTTCACCACCTTCCACTACCACCACTGCATTGCCTTTCACCACCGCCACCACCATCGTTATCGCCTTCTACGACCACCACCTTCCACCACCATCGCCGCCATCACATTTCATCGCCGCCACCACCTTTCACTGCCGCCACTGCTTTTCACCGCCACCAACTTTCACCACCGCCACTGCTTTTCACCGCCACCAACTTTCACCACCGCCTTTAACCACCACCATCACCTTTCACCATCACCACCGCTGCCACCGCCTTCAACCACCACCGCCGCCGCCATCATCTTCCTCTACCTTCCACTACCACCACCACCGCTACCGCCTTTCACCACCACCATCGCCTTCCACCACCTTCTAGCACTGCCACCACCACCTCTACAACCTTCCACCATGGCCATAGTCACCTCCAATGGCTTCCACCACCACCACCTACACAACTATCTCCTTTTACCACCACCACTACATTACATGAAACGACCCGAACCCGAAATTTTTGAAGTCAAAATGTAATTAATACGTCATGTTATGCTTTATAATGCACAAGGGCATCGTCGAATGTGTCAGGATTGGACAAAATTGGAAAAGAAATGAAAACAGTGAAGCCACAAGAATTGGTCGATGTGTGCATGGTACACGTCAACCGGTTCATGTAAATTAGCCGACGTCTGGGCCTAGACATCGACCGGTTTGAGTCTACGCCTTGAAATTGGCTACTGCCCAGGAAAATGAGATACTAGTCGACGTGTAGGCTTCCTCACATCGACTGGTTCTCTGCCGAAATGTCGTCTAAGGCTTGATTTGGTGATCTAAGTCCCCAGCATCCTCGTTAGTTTATTTATGACCCTAAATATGAAATAAACCTATCCCAAAATCATGCTTTAAATTGAACACGACCACAATTTGACATCCATGCATTTATAAAAACATTAAACGAGCTTGATACGTCACATGTGATTAAAATGAATCCGGTTACATCATAGTAAGTCTAAATACATCAAATGTAGCCAAAGAAGATCCGTTTACATTTCAACATGGCCATAAGCCGTACATGAGATTAGAAATCCTAATGAAACCACAAAAGACCAAGGATGATCTTAACACTATTTCTATCCGCAAAATACATACAAGTCTGAGGCTAACAAAAACATTTATCATTACATTTCCCAAAATGTCCAATATTACATAATTTAAAAGTCTAAGCGTTTAGTAGACTAAAGAAGGTCTTCATGTCATCACACATAAGGTTGGGGATTTTCCATAACCTTTTTCCCTGTTCCTAAAAAATGATAATAAAAGGGTGAGCACAATGGCTCAGTAGGTAGTGCCTAAAACACACTCTTTAATTATTCTGTCAATCACACACAAAGAATAGGGTATGGAAAATGGATTATACTTACTTTGGGGAAAAAGAATCAAATAAGCATCATCACACAAACCCGAACATAATCAATGAAATGCCAATGTTCACTCGCCATTTACAAAATCTTTACCAATGTAACAACCATCAAACTGTTAATGTAACCTAGCCCGGGGCGACTCCTCGGCGCCACGAGAGAAGGGTTGGCTAACTATCCCTGACCTAAGGAAACTCTTTAGCATCATTTGGAGCCTAGATAACTCAACCACACATAAGGCAATCTCTCTACGTTCCCCTAGGTTCCATTAACCCCACGGACACAACGCAATTCCTTACCGTCCGGTTTTCAAAAACTTCTTTCAAATTTTTTCAAAATCAATTTCTTTTTTCAAAACAACCCCACACTCATACAATGTTAATAGGATGAATGTCTCAAGCATTATGTCATCATGTCAATATGAAGATCACAACTTAAATATAATCATGCTCACATGCTTTTACAACAATTTAATAGTAGAATTCTAACACAACCAACTTCATAATCATGGCATTTTGGACTTATAAATCACATAGCAATATTCTCATCACATAACTTCACTATAGTCCACATAATCATGCAATTTAGTACATCATAGATACATAAGACATGTATATCATCACTTGTAGCAACGAACACTAACCACCATGTTAATATATTCACAATTTACACATAATCATGGCACATACAAGAGAATTAGTTTACAAAAATTAAAGAACATGAGATTTACAAACCCTTACCTTAAAAGAAGAGCAAAGCCCCAATTTTTCCCAATTTTTGAAAATCCATTGCCACCCAAATGGAAATCCGCTCTAATCAAATTGAAGCTCTAGTCGAGCTCTACAAGATTGCCTTCTACGGCAAAGATCAATTCCTATAAGAGGGGTGAAATCTAGGCTTGAAGTTATGTAATTAGAGAGAGAAAGAAACTTAGAGAGATAATAAAGAGGTCTTGGCTGGTGGTGGGGAGAAAAATGCAGAAAATGCATTCCTCAGCTCTATATTACAAGCCTTGGTCAATGGTGGGTCCTACATTGACCCACAAAAAGTTTAATATGCCTTTTGATGTATATATATACACTATTCATGCTACAATTATAAAATAGAGCACACGACCACATAATTATGCGTCAAATAATAAAATATAAAATACAATGACCCCGAAAAATAATCCCGAGTACAACAAATTCGAGCACGAGACCCACCCTAGACCTCCCGAAAATTCAAAAAATGCTAAAATGATCCATATTGCATTATAAGAGTTCTAAACTCAAAGAAGTACCCCAAATCACTCTCGGAATCTCCGTGGCATGCTAAGCGGTGTGTGACATGCAAAACGAGACGTGAAAAAGAAATAATTCAAAAAATCAAATAAACACTGGAAAAATAAAAAATTACAAAACGTCACAATCTCCCCAACTTAAAAATATTTTTTCCCCGAAATAAAGTTATAACACACGAGAAGGACAACCAGGATATTAAAACGGAGCATGTCTCTGAATATCCCACACAACACGCTACACCAACAAGCCCCAACACAGGAACCCCCACGTCGTAATCTGGTTAGCAACTCCGTCCTCATGACACAATCTACCCTCAAAGGAATGGTGACCATGTGGCCATATGACACTTTACTACAGAAAGTACCAAACTCAACATAACGGTGCATACTGCTCAGGACACGAACCATTCATCGTCACTCATTATAACCAATCCCGAGGCAATACAGTCACCCAACTTATCACCTGCGAAAATCAAGTCATACCATCACATTACTACACAACTAATCACAAATGACAGGATCGATCCGTCCACCCAATCTCTCAACTCCAAGATAATAAATAGAATTTAATCCTATCTAGGATCATAATTATGGAGATCGTTTACATCATCAAGTGCATTAACAAGTTCCTAAATCACAAGTCTCGAAAACAAGTTTTGCGAATCCATCAGACTAGTCACATGAAACATTTAGAGTCACAGTATCCTCAATCCAAATACAACTATCAATTAACACCCTATCCTTAATGATGCCTTTACTAATCCACAAGAGTACACCAATCTCTAAAAGAGCTTTTCGTTTCAAATCATTATAATATCCAACCTGTTACCTCCATAGTCACTACTGAAGTGAAAAAGATAGAA